GGATGTGACATAATGTGACGGGTCCCGCTCCCGCTACTCCTCCCGCATTCCTGACGCCTGCTAGCCTTATACACACTAACTACGGCCCGACAGCAGGGCATTTGGCGCGCCATGAGCGACTGTGGTGGCAGATAATCACAGTGCAGCAGCAAGTAAATGGTTGCCCGATATGGTAATGTCTGTTATTGTCGAGTGGTGGTGCCAGAGCGCTGCGTGTCCGACAACTGGCACAGCTCAGCGTACCCAGTGTCGGCTATGATATCAGCACATGCTCTTCCTCCTTTATCACGCTCTAGAACGTCTGAACAGTAAGTCTACTCAAGAATCATTGGGAGTGCGTGACATCACGTGACACAGTCCACCTCCGGGGCGGAGTCCGGTCCGGACCCGTAGGGGCGGAAATCCCAATAACGGAATGTCCTCCATGTACCCGTACTGGAACACTCCAAAGATCTTGATCTTACCGAAATCACCAGATTTCCGAAGAAAGTGATTTCTTTTGACATAACGGCCAGTCTGCTTCCGCCGTGAATTTATTCTTGGGAACATATCATAGCATAGATTCATGCATGATTATCTCAGAATTTATGATGCAGACATCGACGTTCCACAAGTCAATGGGTAAAGGAGTAGTTCGACTGCCACCCGTATCTACACGCGGTGGCAGCCGCGGATACGGGAGACGCTAGCCCGCCACCGGCTGGACCGGGCCGAGACAGCTTTGCTCACGCCGGTGAGCGAACCTCTCAGGCTGCACGGCGGCAGACTTGCAGCACTCGCGCCCATCTCAGCAACTATCGACCGAACAGCGAGAAAAACAGGACCTCACATTGCTCTCGAACTCATGCTATTCATTGGCGTGTGGTTGAACCTTTCCACGGCTAGATCGCCGACTGCGTTTCAGAAGACTAGGTACCATAACTAGTCCATTTGAACTAGTATCGTGGGGAGGGAATTCAGGAATAGGTTCTTCCCCTGCCACTTCCACGACAGTGTCATCACTCATACTGACTCACGCTCAGAAAAACGACTGTCCAAGGCCTTCACTCACTAATTGTCTGGAATGACGTCTCGCGTACTGAGTCTGGGCACGACTGCGACACTCTCATCAGGTGTGTCCAACCTTCAAGTCAGATCCTCACGAAGACTGATAATATGACTGGATGCATAACTTTGAACTCGGACAGGCTACAACATACCTCTCTTAGGGCTGGGAGTATATGAGAACGATGACTGTGTCCCAGCATGTATTGCTGCTTTGAAACACGGCTACAGGTACGTGTGTAGACGCACACAACCAATGGTTCGCACGCAACAGGGTTCACATATATCCTTCTGCAATGGTAGACACATAGATTCAGCACGCTACTACCAGAACGAAGACCAGGTAGGGCGCGCGGTGCGTGGGAGCGGCGTGCCTCGCGAAGAAGTCTTCGTCAGTACGTGACAGTATCCCTTCGGCCGACGCCTGAACTCGATACTCACTCAGTTCGCGGATTCTGTAGCAACAAAGATCTACGACCCGCACCATGGGTACGAAAGCACCGTCAGGGCGGTCGACGAGTCGCTACAGTGTTTCAGTTTTGGTGCGTTGATCGTCCCAAGCAGTCTATCAATACTTACACGTCCCTACGGTAGACTACATCGACCTCTACTTGATTCATAGCCCCCTTTCAGGAAAGCAGCGACGTCTTGAAACCTGGAGGGCACTGCTTGACCTGCAGAAAGCGGGGAAGCTCCGGACTGTCGGCGTCTCGAATTAGTACATTCGTTCTCTTACTCTGATGAACTACAAGCTGACCCAGGGCCTCGATGCTACGAAGTGGGATGAAACATCTCGATGAGATCCGCGATGCGGGACTCGAAGTGCCCGCTGTCAACCAGATCGAGGTGCACCCATTCTGCCAGCAAAGGCCGATCGTCGAGTACTGCCGCGAGCACGGCATTTTCGTACAGGCGTACTGCCCGCTTGTTCGCGGTCAGCTAGGCGACCCTGTCCTGCAGGATGTCGCGCGCAAGTACAACAAGGACGTTGCGCAGATCCTAGTGCGCTGGTCGTTGCAGCACGGGTAAGGCGCGCACACGACCTCATCGTTCGGATGTGGATGACTTATGGTGAATGTTGTGGCATAGGTTCAACCCGCTGCCGAAGTCTTCGCGTCCCGAACGTGTGGTGTCCAACGCTGACGTGTACGATTTCGATATATCGGTGGAGGACATGGCAAAAATAGATGCTCTTGACCAGGGCGCAGCGGGCGCCACGAGCTGGAACCCCGTCGATTCCGAGTGACATATATCTCACGAGGCCTCCTCATAGTTTATGCATCACGGCGCAGCTAATTTTTGGTACAAATTCAACGCCCTTGATGACTGATCGAATGCAGGAGCGCGACGCCATGAAGCCGACTCTCGAAGGAGGCCGCTGGATGGCACCTCGGCTGCATTCAGGCTGGCAAACGTATGTACCCGACACACGGAGCCGAGGGGAACGGGCTGGAGCTCCACCCTCGGTTTGCGCACGCCCAAGGGCCTCCAGAGCCCCAAGATGTTGTGCAGTGTCATCAACACCTTCGTTTCCTTCTACATTGTCATTCACGATTGAAGTCCTGCGAACAACATATGTATCACCAAACACTTGGGGCGGCGGGGCGGGCAGCAGTGACGATGTTTACCGGTGCCGGCTCGGGAGTCCCACTGAACACCTCATCAGTGAGACCGCCGTACGAGAATGCCGAACTAACACTTGACTTCACTAGCCAGAAGTGAATATGAGAAAGGCTGTCCTGAGCAACTCGAGCGACTGCGTCGAGCTGGGAGGTCAAGAAGCTTGGTCATACACATTGTAATATTTCTTACTGGAATACAAGGCACTATGGCCGAGTGGTTAAGGCGACAGATTCGAATTATGTAATCTTATCTGTTTCGCGTTGCGAGCGCAGGTTCAAGTCCTGCTGGTGTCGTTTTATTTTTTCTCGACGCAGCTAAGTACGTGCGGTCGGCATGTAATTCCTGGATTCCTTCAATACGACCATCACTACTCATACATAGCTCTGTACTAAGCGAGGCTCTGTCAATGCCTCACGGTATAGGTGATCTGTAGACAAGTCGCTTTGACTTCACTGACACGTACTTATATCAATCCTTTAACCTCCCTACTTCTGTCAGCGTGATGGGAAGATCTGATCTGCGATAGCACCGTCTCTCGTAACGACAGAGTTGCAGTGAGGTCGCCGTAAACCGTACTATCAAGCATGCCTCAAGCATCTGCCTTAGGACCTATCGACCCGGATTCACTTAGTGCGAGGGAGGAGGATAAGACAGCACCATGGATTGTCAGGAAGCTTGTGGGCGTAAGTGCAAGGTTATTACTATTGCAGCGGAAGTAACCAAGAGCTTACAGACTATGACGGGTCGCATTGTGATGTCGAGCTACGAGACTTTGCGGAGCGCGGGCACGAGTGTCGTGTGTTTGTCCCCGGTAAGTCACGCAGACTGACCCAGCGATCAGTTGGCTCGGCTCGGCATAGCACCCATAAGCACCTACAATAATGATCTCATCCCGCCTCGCCCGGCTTGCGCTCTCGGCAGTCCCTGCGCTAGTGATCGCATGGGCGAGTTCTTGGAACGCATTGAACGCGCTTCAGGGGCGACTTGATGTGGGCTATAGATGACTACTGGCAGCACCCTTTGACTTGACCAGGAATCTGTACGATGTGCTGACTGCCATTGATCCACAGTGGGGGGACTCATCGCCCTTGCTGCTCCCATGCATCCGCTTCCGTGACCTCGCAGTACACACCGTCATCGCCGCAACGGTAAGTCCCCCAATTACCTGCGCTACCCTTGCGACAAGTCTTCATCGACTGAGCCTCATTCGTGCAGGGAGGCATGGCCGCCGTGGCCGCACCCGCGATGGGCCCCGTCTCAGACATCATCGTGGGCTCGCTCGGGGACTCGCTCGTCGTCGAGCTCGGCACGCACGTCGGCTTCGAGCTCACGACGAAGGTCGCGAATGACCTCGTCTTCGACAAGACCGCAAATCTGCTCATCCCAATCCACTCCGCGCGCCTGCAGACGACGGGCGTGAAGACGCTGCTGATCACGCTCAAGTACAAGCACGTCGTCGAGGACGCCGCGCTGGGGTTCTTCCGGAGCTCTATGCACCAGTGCGTGCCTCGCGCGGATCGGCTGCGGGCCTCTGGCTGATGCGCATGACCGTAGGGATACGTCGCTATTTGCGGCGGTGAAAGACTATCTCGCTGTAGAGAAGGGTTGGTTATCGCCGTACCTGTTCGCAAGCGGCCGTAGGCCGATTATACCTCGCACTGTAAGCCTCATCGCCGTGTTACTGCGCCGTCCCCAGCCCGCTCATCAATCGACAGATGAAGCCCGATGTAGTCTTCTGTCATGGCCCCTTTCTCTCTGGTATGTTTCTCGTTTACCGCATTGGCGCCATACTAACATTTCACCATCGCAGGCGACTACCGCGTCGGCGAGACTCTTCTCGCCGAATCTGCGGCCGTAATAAGCTTCGCCAGCTCCCCGACATCCTCCCCGGTGGCACCCCCAGAGGTGCTTACTGAGCCCAGCGCGTCCAGCAGCCCCAAGTTCAGCATGCTCTCCCTGCCGAACCTCTCGCACATGGTGCAGCGCTCGCGCACACCCTCGCCGGAGCCTGCGCTGACACCGCTCCCAGCGCCGCCGAAGCCGCGCCGGCTCGTATTACTCGTCGTCGGGCTCGCGCCGCACCGCACGCTGTGGACGACGAGCCAGCGCCCGGGCGAGAGCGTGATCAATTACACGCTACTGAACGGGTGTCCCGCGGTTGTCCTGCCTGCACGAGGTAAGACCCCGGTGTCCTCATTCGACTCATATGTGCTGACGGGAGTGACGCAGTGGGAGCTCCGCTCGTTGCTTGGGTCGGGCGCACGCTGGAACAGCTGTGGAGTGTAGAGCTTCCTCCGGACAACGCGGGCGCGGGGGCATTGGACACATCGGGCGTGCGAGGTGCAGAGAATGACGAGGCGGTGACGGGAACGTACGCAGGGCTCGTCGGTATGCTCTTCGAGTACGTCGACCTATGTACCGACTGGACGCGGGTGGAAGTCCTTGGAGAGGGGGAAGGAGAAAGGTCGGAACATGGCACGGAGAAGCAACGGAACGCGGTTCGGGATGCGGTGGCGCTCCTCATCGCCGCTGCTATTCGGAGCGGTGAGAGCAAGGAAGTGAAGAGTAAGGTTGGTGAGGAGCGTGCCGGGATTGCGATGTGGAGGATCCCTTGAGGACTGGGTCTGGGATGGAGTGGGACCCGCGGCACAGATCTAACTCGCAATGCATTTCAGTATACTTATTCCATTATGATAACATAGCAGTGCAAAGCGAGTCGAGTTTTGCGGCAAGACAGCACTGATTGTGTTGGTCTCGACGTCGAGATATCGATGATGAAGGCCTGCATTGCCAACCTACGCGCAATGCTGTAGCAAGTGGCGGCACGATGTTCCGACTCAGCGCTATTGGGTTGCGTAGAGATAGAGCGTACGTTCAGGGAAAGATTTGGCTTGGGTTTGAGAATCGAGATACGCCGCCTCCGAGCCCTCTGCGGCATCGCTCGCGCGGGCACCCGTTGGCTTCTTGCTCCGGGAAATGGGCCCTGGCAGGCGCAGTAATTGTGGCCTGACGATTCCTGTAGACGACATGACTTCGACTAATCTTTCCCAGCGACGACGATACGAGATACATCTGGAAACTTACAAGGCCCGTCCGTATAGCACCCTATCCCTCTTCTAGCTTCCACGAACTCACGAATCCTACGTCACTTCCCGCTACGAGTGGGTCTTGAACATCGAGTGGGGTATTCGAAATATTAGTCGCGGATGCCAAGTAGCATCGGACAACCCAACCTACGACTGTCCTCGTGGACATTCGACGCCCTCAAGACGTCTCGAACATCTTCCAGGGGTGTATAAAGTTGACACAGATGCTGCGGCTAGCTTGCGCTATTTACGCACACGGAGAGCCGTCGCCCCGACAGAGACCTGGTAGTTGGAAGAAAGTTAGGCTTGAGAATGCCGCGTGGTGCACTCACCTGCATCGCAGAAGCATGACCTATTCTCGATATGCTTCTGCACCATCCGCGAGCCTCCGGGCACCGTTCCACGTGTTATGGGGACAAGGTCCGTAGGCGGCCGTGGAAGGAGGTCGGAGTAGGGTGGGAGGAAGAAGGTGAGCATTGGGCGAGCACGGCCCCTCACGCGGCGTCCGCGATCACGACCTCGTCATGAGATGCTCGCTCTCACCGACGACATCCCACTATAAAAACCCCTCACCCCGGCTCAGCGGACCCACTAGCCTGCTTATCCGACCCCAGCGAACGCATACAGCCAAGATGCGCGCGTACTACATGGACAACGACCCGACCGACCAGCGCCTGCCGCACGATAGCGGGCGCGCCGTCTCGGATGAGATCCTCGACGCGCTCGGTGTCCTCCGCTGGCACATCCCCGTCGATTCTGAGGGCAAGTGGCAGAGCCAGGTCGACGCTATCGCCGACGAGCGCCACTACAAGAATCGCGATGTCTGCCTTGTTACGAAGGAGGGCATGGGCGAGCAGTTCGAGACGAACCTGAAGAAGTTCTACTCCGAGTACGTAATGCGCTCCTTGTGCTCGATAGTCCACACATCGATGAATGATTCAAAGGCATATGCATGAGGATGAGGAGATTAGGTACATCATCGAGGGTGGTGGCTACTTCGACGTCCGGGGTGAGTTCGTGGAGTCCGTCTACCTTTCATCCGGCCAATGCTCATGCACCTGGTTGTTCACAGAGGCCCCGACTGACGACTGGGTTCGCCTTCACGTCGGCTCTGGCGATATGCTTGTCCTTCCGGCTGGTATCTATCACCGTTTCGGTCTCGACATGGGCATGAAGTCCCGTACGATACGTCTCTTCAAGGTGCGTCGTTCTGCTGCCAAACCCCCTGCTTGGATTTGACTCATACCAATGTGCAGGACGAGCCGAAGTGGGTCGCTTACAACCGCGGCTCAGAGACAGATGTGAACCCCTACCGCGTCGACTACCTCAAGGCCCTGCAGAGCAAGGGTGTCGCCGTTGGTGCATGAGCGAATCGGACGATGTACGCTTTATGAGTGCGTTGCCGTGCTCCTGAGGAGGCCTTTACAGGAAGTTGTACATAAGTGTATGCGTATAGGCGGACGGATTTGAATATAGCTCACGGAACTCTCCATCCGTGATACCGGCTTTGAGTCTACCTATGCACGGGATGCCGGTGCCATTCCTTCTCAGAGATGTGCTAAGGCGGTACAGCTATTTTCCCGCAAGAAACTTGCGTTCCTCAACGACGTCATGTAACGCCCTGGCAGGCCATATACCAATGGCTGACGGAATGTAACTAAAGAGTTGGGCATGACGCGCCTCAAACCTCCGCATGAACCTGATCAGCATCCCAAGTTATCTCCGACCATTCTTCGTTCTCCCCTGGAGCGATGACAAAACCGATCTTCTGGTAGAGACGAACCGCGCTGGGGTTGCTTGGCTCGAAGAATAGGCAGACGCTTTCTACATACCGGGGGCCCAAGGGGATCTCAAAGACTCTATGATATACCCGGATCTACATCAGCTCAAAGATTCAAACTATCACAGTGCATCGTGTAGGACTTTACCTTGCGATCGCATGCCGCACAAGAGCCTCTGCGAGGCCCTGCCCGCGTACCTCCGGGGCCGTGTACACCTTCGAGACAGCCCTCACAAGAGGTGTTTCACGCGTGATGGAGACGAGTGTACGCAAGACGCCGTCCACCCACGCTCCGTACAGGTGTTGACCCTCTATGAGCTTGTTCGCTTGTAAACGTGCCGCCGCAGCATCAAGGGGCGGAGGGACCGGCTCGTCCATCGGGTGCGTCGCGCGCTCGCACATGTCTGCGGCGATATCTAGGTCCGCG